TCCAAGTAATCAAGTTTCCTCCAAGCGTGCCTGAAACTTGGAACCCCCACTCCACCTTCTTCAGTACATTGACCCAAAGGTCAGCATAATACTGTATGAAGAAAGTACAAGGTGGAGCAAGGGACAGGGATTATGTGCTCTCCAGATTTTAATAGTGCTTTCCCCTATAAATTAGCTTCCCTGAAGAAACTTCCAGCGTAGCTATATATTGGTAGAAGCTCAAAATTTCACTTGAAAAAGTTGATCTCATCTCCACCTCACCTTCCACCAAGGAAGCAGTCTTGTGTGTAGGTAAAGCAAGAAGCTGATAGAAGTGCAAGTACTGTTTTCCTGCATTCTATGAAGAGATGTGAAGTTAGGACAGAGCTAGGGAGCCTTCCTGCTGGGATGGAGATCAGTCCATCACCCAAAACAAGGGGGTTTACACAGACCTTCAGATCATCCACTTCAAAGAAGCGAGAGAATTAGAGTACTTCCATCAAAATGTACACAGTTTTATTCTGCTTTGAACACACTTCACTTTTAATTAAGTAGCTAATCCTGGGTTAATCTAATACATTCATTTCATAAGCCACTGCAAGATTTAGGTCAGAAATTCAGCTGCTGTATTTTTAAGAAACAACTTCCCTCTGGGTTTCTTTCCTAGCCAAAGCAATGATGCAAGCTCAAGCAGGGGCATACGGCTAGACAAACAACACTTCACAAAAATAACTGTGTTTTGACAATGGAATGTTAAAAGCAGATGTGTCTCTGGAAAAGGGTCAATTCAGTGGCTTTCAACTTGCTGAATAGCTTCTGCATATTTTACCTTCTTGCTCATTTCTTGATAGATGCAATTGAATTGGACACTGCCAGTGTAACATAAGCTGCAGTTCGCTTACCAGCATGTAAATCCCACTGGACTCTATAGGGATTACTTCTGAGTAAACTTTTAGAGGATTGTGCTGCTGTTGAAGCCCCGGGGCTGTATCTAAGTAATTGCACTTTTACTTGAACAACAAGTACAGTGGTACCTCGCAAGATGAATGCCTCGCAAGACAAAAAACTCTCAAGACGAAAGGGTTTTTTGTTTTTTGAGCTGCTTCGCAAGACGATTTTCCCTATGGGCTTGCTTCGCAAGACGGGAACGTCTTGCAAGTTTGTTTCCTTTTTCTTAACACCGTTAATACAGCTGCGACTTGACGTCGAGGAGCAACTCATAGAACGCGGTGTGGTAGCCTTTTTTGAGGTTTTTAAAGACTTTGGTGATTTTTGAAGCTTTTCCAAAACTTTTCCGACACCGTGCTTCGCAAGACGAAAAAAATCGCAAGACGACAAAACTCGCAGAACGAATTAATTTCGTCTTGCGAGGCACCACTGTAACAATATTTGTTCCACCCCAGCTCCCAGCCCACACATGCCAAAATCTGCCCTGGGAGTGGTGCAGGGGCTTGCAGAGAAGGGTTGAATACTGTTACATTAGCAAAATTTGTTCTACTCATGTGATGACTTAGTTGGATAGCTCATGGATAAGAAGTAGCAATTAATCACAGGTAGGTTTCCTTATGATCAGAGTATTGCAAATTCTTCCTAGAAGACCAAATATAGTATAAGGGCTATGGTCATAGAAATTGATAGATGGCTTTATAAAAGCTGTGTTGGCCTCTGGTTTCATCTTTCAGTTCCTGGTCTAAATTGCTCTCTCTACAGAAAATAGAACAATTTTTATTTATTTTATTTTTTTAAAAAAACACACAATGTATGACCATAATGGCTAGGGAAGGATTCCAGTGAAGTGTTTTATGAATACCTTTTTCCTGGTGCACTGCAAAAGGCAAGTCAGCATAGAAATGTTTGAGATAAAATAAATAAATAAAAAGAATTGATAAACCATTTCCCCTACACTAGGATACTCGTACCAAAGACAAAAGGCATGGATGCAGTAAAAACAACATTTCCTTATTGCTTTTGTCTTTCCAGAGTAAAACCATTTGGTTGCTAGTCATAATGAAGGACATGTCAACGCTTGTCAAAGAGAATAAGGGAACATAAGAATAATCGGTAGTTTTCTGCACAGATAACTCTACTCGAAACAAATAACCTAACTTGCAACTATGAATGCTGATGCTATGCGAATCTTTTCATGAGAAATTACCTTAATTGGCTGAAATAACTCTTGTGGTATATTTCAAAATCATTTCTCATGCTCTCCATTCATAGTGCATAGTACCACGACAGACAATTATTTATACTGGATCCCCCCCCAGACACACACACTTATCTCAATCCTTTCAGTAATCTGGCACATTTAGAACAATTGTTATTTCCCATCTTTCCTTCAAGAATCACAATGAAACACTTCTGGATAACAACAAACTTGCTCCAAACAGAACACTCAAGTTGCTCCACAATGTTGGTTCAACCATACCATATGCTAATGGTAATATGTCAAAATAAGCTCCTTGCTGCCTTAAATGCCCTGCTTTTCATTTGTTCTTAGTAATGGAAGCCATAGTAAGGTAAATATTAAGCTTCTGATAATGCTTTTTTCTGTACCTAGAGATTCCCATACAATTAGTCTTCCTCAAACTAAATCAGTCTTGAGTTCTTCTTACTCACAGTTCATAAAGATGCCTTTGCAATTTTTTTTGAATCTTCACCTGCCATCCCTTAGTCTAGGGATGATCGGGACAGTGTGCAGCATTCAAGGTCTAAAGGGATTAAAATCAATTTATGTAACAACAGAACGAGATTTCCAGTATTATTTTCTATCTCGTTCTTCATTTCTCAGTTCACTTTGTTTTGACTGCTGCTGCTGCAGAATGAGCACATATCTCCATTGAACTCTCCACAAGTGATGCTCCAGTCTAAGCTGTTACAGGTTAATTTATTACAACCTAGTCCTGTACATGAGTAGTTCAATTTTTCCCTTCCAACACACATTTCCTTGCATTTGTCAGCATTGATTCTGAACTGTCAAGGTGCTGCTAGGCTGCCTGGCTTTATTAGCTCCCTTGGCACCACTTTGACTCTCCAGAATAATTTGTATCATCTGCTGATTTGCTATGGCGTTGCAACTTCCTCACAATGCATTTTATTTAGAAAACAACAGGAGGCGACCCACTGTTAAGCACCAGTCATTTCTTAACACGAATCTCTACCATGTATTCTTCCTTTTATGTGCATGCCTCACTTTTCAAATATTGCTTATGATGACACTATGGCACAAATCAAATCTCCAGAGACAATGACAATGTCTTATCAGTTTTGTGCTAAAGGCCAATTTGTGCTAAAACGCCCAACTGTTGGAAAAGGGCGTGAGTTTGTATGAAATGATATCACGCCTGCAGTATTACCTGAGTACGTCACCTTTTTCTCAACATATAGCTTCTACTGTATTTCCCCCCCCCTCTAATTTCCACAATCAGCTGTGCAACTCTCTCCCTCTCACACACAGTGCATGGAACAAAACTTTACAAACTTCAGGCCAGTTATATTCTGTCACCTAGACAGTATCTTGGTGACACAATTTAGTATTTGGGGATATACAGATATTCATGATGTTGCATTTTCAGTATTGATATTGTTGTTCTAGTGGTGTTGACAGTTATCCCTAACTTTCCTCATGTTCAGATCTATCCAATTTAGTTGAGATAGGAAAAAAAAGGTATCTAAATGCATCAAGTCTTGCACAAGATAGATGGGAATGTAGTGTTGGTCAGCACTGAACTGATCATTTCAATGGGATGTGCATCCTTATTTGCATTAGAAGCTGCATTCCCAACTAGAACAAGGCATCATGCATTTGCTGGCCTAGTGCTGTGCTGAACCACACTGAGTTGTGTGTTTTTTAAAAGTACTTCTCTTCCTGTGGAAGTATTTCCCCATATTGGGGGAATGTTTTAAAAAAGGCGGAATGGGGACAAGATTTGTGTACTTGCCTTAGGAACTGAATGAGGCAGCTGAGGACTCTTCATTTTTGGTTTGAACATTGCAACAACAACGACCCATGTGCTCTTTGCTGATAAAATTCAAACCTGGCAAGGCTTCCTGGAGCAATGCTGTCAGGTTGTTAAACCTCATTTGATGCTACAATTTCCTACCTAGCGACCCCCTTTCTTCAAATTCAGCTGAAAATGTCCTTCATCTGAGAAGCCTTTGTCTTAATTCCCTAGGTCTCACGCTCAAGTGAAACAAAGCCCAGGTACATGTTCTGCATTTGCTCACAACCATTCCCTGCCTTTTCTATTGCTTACTTTCCACTGTTCTTTCTCCTGCTCATGACTAACTGAATTTAGATTATAAGCTTCCTGGGGCATAAAGTATTTTTGTTTTTGTTTGCTTAGGAACATACTCCAATTTCACTTTACTGGTCAGGTATACAGCCTAATCCCCACTGCAAACTCACAAAAGTGTGTTTACTCAGGAAAAAAATTAGTCAGACTTCTTCCTTAGTAGAGTGTGTAGGATTCCACCTCCAGCCTTCATATTATAAGCAGGGGTTATTTAGCTATTAAGGCCTTTGCTCCTTTTTTGTAACCCTGGTATCTTCAGTTCCTATCTTTTAAAATTCCTTGATGTTGCAATCTATGTGCGTTTGTGTGTTGTGTTTATATATTACATTACAACAAGCACACACCCTATCTCATGTATTTTGCGAGGCAGGCTGTTGTCTATGAAAGACCACTTCACAAGAAATCACTCTCTGAAGTGGTGCAACACTTCTGTAGCTACCGTTCTTAACCATATAATCAGAAGAAGACCGAATGTATGTGCAGTGTACCTGCTGGGGAACTGGGGAGACAGGATTTTGTTTCAGTGGCCTTGAATGTTACTCTGGTGGATCCAAAAAGGGGAAAAGAGAAGCTCAATTACTTTTACAAAAGCTGTGTTTGCATGTTTGTTACCTAGTTTAGATTAGTGCATATTATTATTATTATTATTATTATTATTATTCAGGATAGGGACTAAGAATAATAGTTTAAATTGTAGTATGGAAGCACTCATGATTCACATAATACCTTTCATTTTCTTGGAGCAGCTCACCTCCCTTTTTCCAAGTAGTCGTCGCTTTAGGGGAAGATTTCGGCTTGCAGTCAAAATGAGCTGTGCTGCCAATTAAAAGCTGAATCAGCTTCTTCATCGGGCTTTTAGAGAAGTCAGGAGCAGAGGCTAGCAGTGGAAAAAAGAATATTAACTATGAAACACAACTTTCTCTGCCATGGCCTCAGTGGATCCCGCGAGTTAAAATAGGCCCGTTTTTCATTTAACCACCGAAGAATCTGAATTACCATTGCATATTATCACACATTAAATTGTCATTGAATTCAGCTGGAATTAAACACATACTTCATTTTCATTTCATTGAACATGAGAAGAGTCCTGCTGGATCGCATCCAGAAGTCTATCTAGTCCAGAATTCCATTTTGCACAACAGTCAACCAGATACCTACAGGAAGCTCACAAGCAGAGTACATCATTCTTCCACCAGTTTATCCCAGCGACTGCCATCCAGAGAAACTAGCTTTTCTGAATATAATTTGATTTCAGAAACTGCATAAGGACACAACTCTTAGCATGTCAGGATGTGGGTTACAATGGGATAATGCTGATGACTGCTTCATTTTACCAGTCTGGTGGCGATGAAGAAACACATACTATAGTGTTGTTACTAGTAGGACTGGGAAGGGCCCCAAAACAATTGGTATAGGCTTCAGGTGGAGTTCAAAATGATCGTTTCTTCCAAAATAATATCAGAGTTCTTCATGGCTAATCAGCAGATGACAGCGTTGCTTTGATTAGATCAGGAACATGAGGAAGACTTAACATTAACGATTTTGGGAAGTGCTACGGCAATGGACAGAAGGCAAAAGCACTTCCTTGTTCATTTCAGCAGAGGATTTTGGCAGGAAGCTTTCAAGTGCATTTAGGGCTTGGTTTGCGAGTTCTTGCCAGCCAACCATTTTGGAAAATATGGAACCTCTTCAGCCAAGGTGCTAATGAAGGAACACAAAATGGAAGCAGAACAGGCCTCCTTGGAATACACAGCTTAGGATAACTTCAAAGAGCAGAAGGGCAATGCTAAAATGATGCCATGTGAGCTGACCTTTAGTTTGATTTTGGGCTCATATTTAAGTGATTTTTTATTTTATTTTTGCAAATTTATCGAGTGCCACAATATCAGAGAACTGCTTTTGGCACACATGAAAACTCTCAAACTAATAACCTTGCAATCAACCTCAAACAATTAGCAGGCTCCACTTGGCTTCCTCATGCTCTTCAGTACAAATAGAGCAGGTTATATTACAAGTGACAAATGGAGTGAGACAACTGGCCAAATATAGCCCATGCGTGGTTCCAACTACACAGTTCTGCTAGCATAACAATTTTGGGCTGCGCAGTGGAACTTCACTGCCGTTCTCTCTCCCAGCATGGCCCCTAAATCTGTTGTGAGTGAGATTTAGGGCTTGCACAGGGAAAGGAGAGGATTGAGAACTTGCACTAATTTAACTGTTTAGCTGGATACGACCCCACGTGCTGTATATAGCTGTGAGGATAGTTTGCTGTGTGACCTTTGTGAATCGTAACAATGAACAGGTGCTGGTAACTATTTAAAAATGCTTAAAAGGAAACTGCACGAGGTGGCCGTCAAGGCTTCTCTCAACTGCCTTATCAGTGAAAAAGGGTGCTTGTTATTAGAATTCTGTGGAAGCGCCGAGAGTCAAGCACTCAGCCTTGATGAGTGTTTGCCATTTGTTTTCAAAAGCAAGTTGGCATAACCTCAGTCACTGGCCCCTGTCTCCATAATCAAGGAAGGGGTCACAGGAACCCATCTTATTGCTTTTTAAATGACATTGCTCTCCTAGGAATACCAGGGCTGTGATGCAGAAGGTCAGCACACCTGAGTAATGTGCTGAACCGAAGTTGCTTCCAGATCGTGTGATTAGTTTTAATCTCTGGGACTGCATCCAAGCCTTTGTCTCTGCTCTCCCCCTAATTAATAATTTATCTTGGTGTCCTTGTTTTAAAGCAGTGAAAGATTGGGCTGTAAAACACACCAGGCTTCATCTTCCACCCCCACACCCATCTAGCACATCCTCTAGATGCAGGTGAGTAAAGTATTGCAGCATCACAATTAGAAGTTGCTTTGCTGCAATGAGAAAACAACAACAACACCCCAAGTTTTGCCACTTGTTTTTTTCTCAAGGCAATCATTCTGACAACTACATGGCATGGAAATACATATTTAGTAACAGTGGCACAATGGATTGGTGCATCTGGCTGTTAATCAGTGGGTGGTGGTTTGAGCCACCCAGGGATGACTGTGGGCAGGTTTCCTGCATTGCAAGGGGATTGGACTGGATGACCCACGGGGTCCCTTCCAACCCTACGATTCTATGAAAGAGACAGGAAATTTTAGACCTACCTACAACTCTGAGATCAGCGCTGGAATATATTGTCCCGTGTTTGTTTTCTGCAATACACTGGTAGATGCCAGAATCTGTCAAGTTGAGGTTTGTTATGATCAAAGCCCCATTTTCGATTTGTATTCTTCCCTGGACAGCAAAAGCAAAAGTTAGAAATGTATATGCCTTTAAATGACTGGTAAAACAGACACAGGAAGCTATTTAGACTGCACAACTATACCCCATGCCTTTATCAAATCTCATTTGAAGAGTTTAAACGTAGCTTAACTGATGCTTGAGTCAACTGTGAAGTTTCTGGCATGCTCTGACCAAAGAGAGTAGCACAACAATAATAACAGTAATAATGGCCTTTATGAGCTACAAGGCTTTATGTGCTATCCAGCAGATATAAGCCTCAAACTGGAACACCAGCTTTGAAAATCCTCTTTTGAATTCTGAGAAAATTGAGTTGGATTTGATTGTCAATGTGCCCTATTCCTAACAATCCTGGGGATCAGCTCACTTTAATTTTGGTGCTTACAAGCATGCCTACTTCTATAAAACGGTTTTGCAGCCTGGCATGGGGTGGGGGTTCAATTCTGCTCCTTCGGAATGTCAAGTCATATTACAACTCCAGAGACTGGGTGTAGTGTTTTGAGAAAGAAACAGAGGTCTTGTTCACCTTGAACAGGGTATATATACATGAAGCACGAATTCAGACTGCAGGTGGAGGTTTATATCATTGCATATTGAATATGCAAATAATAATGTTATATGCTATCACATTCAGCAATCAGTTTATCACAATTTATGCACACTTGAATAAAAAGAAAGAAACCTAAGAACTTATAATTTATCTTTAGAGGCACTTAGAGAACATCAATCAGCCTTGACTGCAATAGTACGGGTTTTTTGCCTGATCATCTGGGCAGCAGGACTCAGCCCCCTTGGCCAGTATCACATTTCCATCATCACTTTTGTGGTCCATGATTCTCACTTAGGAATTTATTTTAAGCCATGGAGGGATTCATTTTGCAGTTGTGAGAAAGAAAGAATACTAACATGACTAGAAGAGAAATTAGTAATAGAGCCTTACAAATCACACTAAAATCCTTACAAATCACTCCCCACTAGTAATAGCCATGGGAGAAGAATACAATACAACGTGATAGAAGAAGATATGACTGAAGAGACTTTTGAAGTCTGGCAATCCCATCAGCAGATGTAAACATCCTCCAATGCCTCGGCGAATAAAAACAGTATTTGCCTTGCATAAAGATCTAACAGAGATGGTGCTAGGTAAGCTCCCCTGGGGAGTAAGTTTCAAAGACAGGATCCCACCACAGAAAAGGCCCTCTCCTGTATCACTCCCTGCCTCACCTTCAAAGGCGAGGGAGGTGAGAAATAATTATAACCAATGCTTTCGACTCTGATCCTTTCAGCTACTGCTGGCAAAATAAAGTTAGGAGTCTTATTTCTCAGATCATCCAGTCTGTGAACAAAGGCACGAAGAAACTGCTCATCATATTGGGGAACTTTACACTTTAGCCCACTTAATTTATCTGCAATTATTAGGTTTCTAAAATCCATAATCTCAAACTCATTAACTTTCTCAGGGAACTTTTTTTATTTGCCAGTTCAATTTTGTAATCAATATATGCTCTTAAAATGCCCATTTCATTTAAGAATATTGCTTTCCATATTTTCATAGGCAGGGGAGATCCAGGATTATCTTCAAATTCAGAGTCTATAGACTATAGTGTCTCCTCCTCCTACATCCTTTTGCAGACCTAACAGAAGTCTGTGTACAGTTTTCTCTCCCCCCCCCCATCACCTCCTATTGCATTACTGATGTTCATGTATAGGTAAAGGTAAAGGACACCTGGACGGTTAAGTCCAGTCAAAGGCGACTATGGGGTGCGGTGCTCATCTCGCTTTTCAGGCTGAGGGAGGCAGCGTTTGTCCACAGACAGCTTTCATGGTTATGTGGCCAGCATGACTGAACTGCTTCTGATGAAAAGTGACACTGTGACGAGTGCCAGAGTGCACAGAAATGCCGTTTACCTTCCCATCGCAGTGGTACCTATTCATCTACTTGCACTGGTGTCCTTTCAAACTGCTACGTTGGCAGAAGCTGGCACAGAGCAATGGGAGCTCACCACCATCATGGGGATTCGAACTGCCGACCTTCCGATAGGCAAGCCGAAGCGGCTCAGTGGTTTAGACCACAGCACCACCCGTGTCCTCCATACATGTATATAGAATCTTGAACTAGCACTAGATGCAACCCTAGGCTCAGATTCAGCGTTCTCTGACTGCCAGCGGGAGGGTTGTTGTGCTAACAGAAGGGCAAGAATAATGGGGGCACAATATGAAATCCTGCACAACAGCTATGGGCGCGGAAAGCTTGTTGTGCAACAGATTGCACAATAGGAAGTATCCGAATTAAAGCAAAACCAAGCAAATTGTTGTGCAACCAGCCATGAGTACCATTCCACTAGCGCAAAAAATTCTGCTAGTGCTAAGGGACTTTAACTTAGCGCTACACCAAATTCCTCTCTTAGTTATTTATCACCCTACTACTCAGTTAGTCATCACTGTACTTGGTCTACTAGGAATCTTGTCCAACTGAACAACAGCTGCCTGACAAATGCTGATCCTGAAACCAGCAACTAGGAATGTGCAAAAGTGATATACAGTGGTACCTCGGTTTATGAACTTAATCCGTTCCGGAAGTCCATTCTTAAACCAAAGCTGTTCTTAAACCGAGGCACACTTTCCCTAATGAGGCCTCCCGCCGCTGGTGGCCTTCCACCCTTCACATTCCATTCTTAGACCAAGGTAAAGTTTGCTAACCGGAACACTACTTCCGGTTTTGTGGAGTTCATACACCGAATAGTTCGTAAACAGGGCTGTTCTTAAACCGAGGTACCACTGTAGTATACATCAAAGAAAGTTGATATTCTCAGTCTCACATAGGTAGATGATACTACAAGACAACAAACATCTGTTAGACTATGTAATTTTCATAGTAACTGTCTGCCAATAAATTTTCTGTCCTCCCCTGCCTTCCCCATCTACTGCTTTTGTCTATTCAGCAAGGGGAAGGGGAAGCTGACTGAGTTGGCAAAACGACACTTCTCAATAGATTAGATTTCTTGTGCATTTATGTGCAACCTTTCCATTTGATTTGCATAAGTGAGCAACATAAACAGCGCAGAAATGATTATATATGAGGGAAGCCAGGAGACAATCTCTCACCCTGCAATGTGATACAGGATGAAAACGACTTCCATTAAGCCTGGAGGCACCCTTCTTTGTAGGATAGATAACCTGGCTAACTGCTCATGTAAATGTAAGAACCATGAGTTGTATACAATGCTAGTCCTACACAGGATAGACCCGCTGAAATTAATAGACATGACTGACAGGCTCATTAATTTTAATGGATCTGCTCTGAGTTGTTTATTTATCGCATTCATAAACAGACTCGGATTAGCATTACATACAGTACAACCCAAGCAATTCACAGTAATTTTAAGAATAGGCAGAAATGATGGGCGCACAACCTTCATGTGCCAACACCACCATGCACATTGGCAATGCAGTTTAGCCCATGTGCCAAAGAATAAATCCTCTTAAGCATAATTTGCTATTGGTAAACAATTAACTGCAGGAGCTATTTGAGGCATAACATTATCCTTTGTCAGCTCGTTTTGAGTTACTTGCGCAGAGTCCATGGTCTACATATATGCAAGAATGCCTACCCCACCCCCTGTCCAAAGAAAGAACAGCCACCATTACCTCCAATGCCAGAGGCTCTCCATTTCTCAGCCACCTGTAGGATGGCTTGGGTTTGCCACTCGCTCTGCATTCCCAGTATAAGTTGTCCTCCACCGCAGCTTCAAAATCTTTTATGAGTTGAACCCAGTGAGGCTTTGCTTTAAAGGAAAGCAAAAGGGTAAGAAAGCCTTAATAAACAGGGGTATTGTTCTTCAAGAAGGTGGTAACAGAAGCATGTTTGGAAAGCAGCTGACCAACAGTAAATGCAGGGAATGTTCTGAACCAAAAAAATAAAATAAAGTTCCTTAAATGATACATTAATGTCACATTGTGTTTTTACTTAGGCCTGTTAACACGACTAAAGTTACGGCGGCAGGTGCTGATTTCGATGCCATGCCTCACTGGCGCATAAGCAGCCAGGAGGAAAGTTTCCATATAGAGGAGAGTACGCAGCCATGAAATTTCCTCACCCAGGAAAATAGTTCCTTGGATCTTTGATTTATTGAGCCTTTTAAGTCATTTTTTTTCAGACGACAACTATTTGTTCCACACCCAAAGATCTGTTATGTAAAAGTGAGATGAGCATGCTGATGCTTTTGTTCCACTACATAATATGGGGCTACTATGGCAGGCTTCATGCCCACATAAGGTAGTCACAATACAATGCACACCCAGGAACAGACAACAGCTAACAGAAGCAGCACTGATAGGCAATACCACAGTATGCCCGGAAATAAGGATGTTGCGGAACAGCAATACGCCTACATCACCCAGGCACAGAAGGCATTAATCAAAGCACGGTGGTAGTCAAATGAGCTCATGATATAACACAATCCAGTACACTCTTACAATGTATAACTAGGCCATTGGAAAAGAGACTACTGTGCTTCTCATTGTACAAGAAGGCCCAACATAGAAAACTAGAGGCTTCTCAGGAGAAGGATACAAGTCTTACTGTGGAACTCATGCATACATGTTCACAACTCCTGCAAGAAGAATGAAAACTATAATAGCAAACCCAGGGGAGGGTAACACTGTGATTTGTCCAGTAGCTCAGTGGGAAAGGAGAGTGCAGCAGTGAACATTAACCATGGGTTTGAGTCCCAACTTAGATAAATGCACAGATGAAGGCAATGCCTACATCATGGGAAGTGGTTGACAGCAGCAATAACTTTAAAGACGGGCGCAGGGGGAGGCAGATGAAGCAGTACCAGAAGCAATGTCCCCTGCTCCAGAAAGCCAGGTTTAGAGAAGAGTGTGGGGGGAATATGTGTCTGGTGTGCCAAAGGGTACCATTGTGGGCGAGTGGTTCCTAGGTGTCAGGAAGAGATCTATCTGCCCACAAAGATGTACTGTGATAGCAACCCACAATAACTAGCACATGGAGCTATAACTCTACAACAGTAACTACTTATCCTGTTCATGGGCCAAGAAGCCTTGTAGTCTCACCACTCATCCCTGTATGTTTTTTATTTATACTGAGATTTTCATTGTACCTTTCTAATGTGTATAGCTACTCAAGGTACCTTGCAATGGTTAACATTAACATTCCATAATAAAAAACCATATCAGCGTGTATAGAGACAGATCTGTCTTCCCCATTTGAAATTTATACCTCTGGTGCTATAGCAAAAATTGGCTACATGCTCAGTCCTATCCCCTTTGTGGTTCAACCTTGGGGTGAATTATCCGGGGTTCTCCAATGATTCTGATGGGAATGTTCAAAGCTATACCAGTTATTCTGCAGGTTTAAGATTATATGCATGTTGAGAAAAAGATTCTGAATGAACATGGGATTCTAATTTAAGTCTGTTCCTCTCCAGGTCACATCCTAATTTTCCTCTGTGATGTGGTTGAGTCCTGGAGGTTGTATTTTTCCTCTACTACCACATTGTCGTAATTTTTCCTGCCAGTGCAGAATTGTGCTTTGTGCGCACAGGAGAATTAGTAGTCCTGACCAGTGGGCATAACTCACAGACAGGATTACTCTGGCAATGTCTTAGAGCTCTGCTAAAACTCTTCTAATATCTAATTTCTGTAACCCTGGAGAATGCAGCTGATGCTCAACCTTCACCATCCTAGTCTAGGGTGCCCTTGACTCAATAGCTACATTTGCAATTGCGCAAATTTATTACCTCTTTCTCCTTCCTCAGCCTCTGCTCTACTACAATCAAACAGGAGGAGAATGCAAGCCCATAGATTTGGGTATTACTTTTCTTGTACTTTTTAATATCAGTGGGAAAATCTGTAATTCCATCACATTTCAAATACATCATTAAGTAAACCTTTAAATAATGCTGCAATGATGAAGCTTTTAAGTTTATGGAGCATAGAACTTATGCTTAAATGCCTATGTTTGTAATTAAACTTTTTAGGAAAGAACATTTTTGCTATTGCATCTCCACTGTTTTACCACAATAGTCTATAATCTGAAGGAAGTATCATGACTTCAGCACAGTCAGTATATATGGGTCCAAGCATTAGTTTTTGCCCTTTAGCACAGCTGAAGCCATATAATAGGGCTCTAGGAGTCAGTGACAATGATCTATTTTAACTTTTCACTGAAATTTTGTGACCTCACTATTCCAGAGCTAAACAGAGAAAGACATACAGAGCTCCTTACGCTCCTGCTATTGTCGGGAACGTGCAACTGAGGTTAGCAGGAGCTGATCCGGAGAGAAGCAGTATAAGGGTAAACTAGAGCCAGAACTGGGAAGGGCCAATGAACTAAGAAGCACAGTCTTGAAGCACGGAGCAGAAGCCAACTGAACTATTTACTATTACAACTCATTGTTTTTGTTTAGTCGTTTAGTCATGTCCGACTCTTCGTGACCCCATGGACTAGAGCAGGGGTCTGCAACCCGCGGCTCCGGAGCCGCATGTGGCTCTTTTACACCTTTGCCGTGGCTCCGGGGCGGATACTAGCAAGGGGAGGAGGCGCATTGTGTGCCCCGACACTCCCCACTGTGACGGGCGCTGTACTGGCTGTGACGTCGCATGGGAGCTGTGCGTGCATTAGTCACGCACCGTCCCGACGTCACCTTCCCGCCCACCCGCTACATTGTAAGGGGCATGTACGCTGGTCACTGCATTGAAAGGGGGCATGTATGCTGGTCACTGTTTTGAAGGGGAGTGAAGAACACACACACACACAAAAAGGTAACTTGTTAATTTAACGTTTATTTCTATGAGGAGGAGTAATTCTGAGGGGTCAAACAAAGAAATAATAAAAAAGTGACAAAAAAGTTATTTTTATAATGACGAGTTTTGCAGCTCCCAGTTTTTTTCTCTCTTTGGAAACGGGTCCAAGTGGCTCTTTTTGTCTTAAAGGTTGCAGACCCCTGGACTAGAGCATGCCAGGCACTCCTGTCTTCCACTGCCTCCTGAAGTTTGGTCAAACTCATGTTCGTAGCTTCAAGAACACTGTCCAACCATCGCGTCCTCTGTCGTCCCCTTCTCCTTGTGCGAAGTCTTCTCTTCTCATGAGGTGGCCAAAGTATTGGAGCCTCAGCTTCAGGATCTGCCATTCCAGTGAGCACTCAGGGCTGATTTCCTTAAGAATGGATAGGTTTGATTTTCTTGCAGTCCACGGGACTCTCAAGAGTCTCCTCCAGCACCATAATTCAAAAGCATCAATTCTTTGGCTATCAGCCTTCTTTATGGTCCCGCTCTCACTTCCATACATCACTACTGGGAAATTTTTGTCCCCCTTCATGGATCATTGCCTTGCCATGGCGAAGGGGCTTCAATAACTCAGAGAAGCTATGACCTATGCCGTGCAGGGCCACCCAAGATGGACAGGTCATAGTGGAGAGTTTTGACCAAACGTGATCCACCTGGAGGAGAAACCGGCAAGCCACTCTAGTATCCCTGCCAAGAAAACTCCATGGACAAAGACAACAGGCATTGCAACCAAACTGAAAACTATGGAGAGACCTGGTCTGAAAAGAGATATTGGATTCTTGTCTCATTACACATGCTAAAGCTATTTTTGGTCATCTGCATACTATCCCTTGCTTTTTCCTGTAGGACTAATTGCAGTTTAACTGTCGTTAACAGTCGTCAACAGGTTTACCATACCTATTGAGCCAATCACCCACCTCCTACTACACTTCTGAGAAATACCCCACCCCACCAGTGACTAACGTTGGCACCAGTGACTAACAGTGCAATCCTATACAAGTCTACTTACCGTAGTAGTAAGCCATGCTGAGCTGAGTAAGCACATGTAGGATTGGAGACTAAGGCATAGGGTTACAGTACAAAGGAGAAATCCTATACCAGGACAAGTGGGTTAGGATCCAGCAGGTCTCCAGCTGAGCTGGGAGGTTTCTGACACAGCCAGGCTATGCTAACTTCACTCTTTCATCTTCGGCTCAGCTGGGCATAACCTATCCCATCCCAGTGGCTCTCAAACTTGCATAAGATATGGAAAACAGGTGTGGCATGGGAGGACCAGAGAAGCGGGTCTTAAGCTGGATCCCAAACCTATTCAGCTCAGTCACATGATCTGGCAACCTGGCACCCAGCAAAATGGTGGCTTAAATGGTGATATAACTAAAACACTATTTGAAAGGCTTGTTTTTTTCTTCTCTGCTTAGGCTGGCTCAACCAAGAGTAACTCCACTCCTGAACAGAGTTCAGAACTTCTGATGGATGGAGTTTGGACCTGGCATCACTTTACACCAGCTTAATTTACATCAGCTTGTTTTAAGCCAACTTGCTCCCTCAGATTTGAAAGTTTAGCAGTAGCGTTTGTGAATCTTTCTGTAATGTGATGTTGAAAATTCTGTATGAAGAAATATAGCAAACTAATTGACTGTAGCAACTGAATCCTTAGATATCTGAAGCTGGCATTTTATTCTTTTGATGCAAAGGTCATAGCTTCCCAGTTGCCCCACAAGCTGTCCATACCGTACTATGTCTTAGAAGCCATTCTTTGTTTTTGTATCCAATTGTCTGATTCCCCCCTCTCTAGATTCCTTTTGTGAATCTTAAGGGCACTGTTGCCCTCCTTTGCTCTCTTATTTAACATAATTGTTGCTTTGAGAGAAGTTGCTATGAGATAAGAAGCAATATAATGTAAGAAATAGATGCAGAATACCAAGATAACCTCTTGTGCATTTTAAAGTATGAACACACTGAACGCCAAGAGACTATATTGCTGTTTTCTTAATATAAAACTCTTTTGCAAGCTAACAATTTTTGTTTTAAAAAAAAAGTCCCCAGGAAAGGCATTTCTTTATTGTAGAAATAGCAAATTAAGGAATGTTTCACTTCCCATTGCAAAGGCTAAACAATGCACACAGGCAGCACACAAGAAATGCTGTCCCAAAAATCTTTGTGATATATATTGTTCCATAAGGGAATAAAACACTACAGTTTGCTATGTACTGTATATATTAAATAATAAATAAGAGTGCAGTCCTTCATAGCCTTATATTTGCTGCTGGGAGAGACTAAGGTCTATCAATTGTGGGCCCCTCCTGCAGCTGCAGAGACAGCATGGTGAATTGAACGCTACCGTCAATGGCTTTCATGTCATTAGTAAATGGCATAGAATATTGACTAGGATGTATGTTGAAGGGGTTACAGTGACAGCCACAACACTGCTGGATCTGTTATCATGCGGGGAGCCTGATTTGGAACCCCTCAGCTGGCACAGCAAAAACAAAAAAAGCAAAGTAAAAAATGCCACAGAATGATAACCTTTGCAAACTGACAGGGATTCAGGTGCAGTTGTCAAATCTGCTAGTCCACCGCTGCTTCTAGACACTTGTGACAATTAGGTTTGAGATGAAAAACAGGTTGTTCATCTGCTGGCTTCCACTGTTGGAGGCAGTATCCCTCTGAATGTCAGTTTCTGGAAATCACAAATGCAGGGCTCTGATTTCTTTCCGCAGGGCCTGTAAGACAGAGTTGTTCCACCTGGCCTTTGGCTTAGAATCAGTTTGATTCCCTCCCCCTCTTTCTTTTTCCTTTCTCCTCCTATGAAGAGATCTCATGAGATGCTCTCATGAGACAGAGCATTCCACCAGGCCGGAGCCAGTGTTGAGAAGGCCCTGGCTCTGGTTGAAGCTAATCTAACTTCCTTAGGGCCCAGGACCTCTAAGGTGTTGCTACATATGGACCTTAAGGTCCTCCGTGGGGCATACCAGGAGAGGCGGTCCCTTAGGTATAGCATATAAGGTAAAGGGACCCCTGACCATTAGGTCCAGTCGTGACCGACTTTGGGGTTGCGGCGCTCATCTCGCTTTATTGGCCAAGGGAGCTGGCGTACAGCTTCCGGGTCATGTGGCCAGCAGGACTAAGCCGCTTCTGGCGAACCAGAGCAGCACACGGAAACGCCGTTTACCTTCCCGCCAGAGTGGTACCTATTTATCTACTTGCACTTTGACGTGCTTTTGAACTGCTAGGTTGGCAGGAGCTAGGACCAAACAACAGGAGCTCACCCCATTGCAGGGATTCGAACCGCCAACCTTCTGATTGGTAAGTCCTAGGCTCTGTGGTTTAACCCACAGCGCCACCCGCTGGTATAGCATATATTCAGCACAAAAACAGCAACAATTTGTTGTTGACAAAGGACAGCTGGACATCTAAAAAGCCGCATTACCTTCAGTAGCTTAGGGCCTCATCAAACCTAAATCTGGCCCTGAGTGTTATTCTTATGTTCTTACACTGGTTAAAATAACAGATCATACAGTAAGTATGCTGTGCAGTGGCAATGATGATGTACCAGCAGCAGCAACAACAAGAAACAACACATGCTCATGTGCGCACCCACACATCTATAGTTTGGCTGTATGTGAAGCTTTCCATACCGTATAGTGCCCCAACCATTCAGATGGTCCATCAAATATGTTTGGGTAGGGTGGGATTCAGTTGCTATGCTAGCCATAAATAACCACCTCATATGTTAAAGTGATACAGAGTTTATATTATCAGTTCTCCACTGTAATCCATGTGACAGGATTAACCAGTTGTATTTAATCTTTCCTGCTTTGACATTTGCCTGGGTGACGCTTATAGAATGCTAACTGGTTTATAGTTAGAAAATGTCTACTTATAATTAAGGTTTTCATCCTTTTCTGCACACTGGGAGATTTTTTTCTTCTTCTTTTGATTAATATATCTTTTCCATAATTGAGGGTGTTATCACCTTGTGACTCAAAATATGAACTTGTCACAATGTGGGAGATATCACAGCTCAGAAATCTTATGAATAAGCTAAACCATTTGCACGTTTATCTTCCAATAAAGTAGCAACATCAACTTTTCTGAACTTCCTGTCAGACGTTATTCCAGGAAACAGCACATGTCATATTTAAGACCTTTTAGATACCACCAGTCTTCCAGAAATCACTAAAACACTGTCACTGACTGTTTTTTGTTCTTCTTGTTGTTATTTACTGGAAATAATTTCCTATGAACCAGCGATCAACCAAATGTAACGGAGAGCAAATTGCTCAAATATAGACTTGAAAAGGAATGCAGATCTCTGCAGTGGAATCTGGACTATAACTTCCTCATTGTAATCACACCAGACACAGCTTCCACTGAGACAAAACGAAAAGATAACCTGCTCATTGGTACAGAGATTAAAACATATATACTTAAAGGATATTATCAAAACTGGGGTTATTTTTTCAATATGATCACCGTAGACATCATTATATGGAAAAGCACTTTTCATGTACAAGTTCTCATATACAGATACCAAGTACGAAAGATACTGGCTCCCGATGCTTTGTAAAGAAATATGGACATGAAAGTGTCCCAATATCCATTTCTGTGATGGAGAAAGTCTTTTTGCAGTGAGAGGAATAATCCTCAACAGAGGAAATGTTTCACCATTGGAGAAAGCCCCATTAGGGAGTAATACAAACCCAAGATTCACTAGTCTTATCCCCTTTGCTTAGTCATGTGGCCTGGCAACCTAGCAGAATATATGCCAGCAAAAAGGATGTAAGTTTATTTTAAAGGTCTGCTTTTCCTTAATCCAGCTCAGCCAGCAGTAGTCCTGCTCCTGTTTGGACCTGGTGTACTCTATACTGGCTGCCTGGCTGCCCACACTGAGAATTGTCCCATTAGAGGAAGTTTCACACTGACTGTCGGGAGAAGGAAATTCTGTTAAAAGCAAAAATAAGAGCAATGGAAGCAGAGACCAACAGCAATCAACGTCAGCTTAAAACTATGTTTGAAACCGATAACAAAATTTTTAAGAGTCCAGTCTCTTTTAAAAACTTGCACATTAGAAGCCTACACAAAGAGCAGTGTTTCAGTTGGCACCTAGAAGCTAACAAGGAAAGTGCTAGGTGAAATAGACCGGGGAAGGGCTTTCTGCAAGCAGTTCACCCCAACTATATTCCTGTGATCCTAGAGGGCAGTGAACTATAGCCAATATATTTTTCCTGGTTCTCATCATAATGTACATAATGCCCCATCACCCTTTGGGGGTTTGATTTAGGAAAGCTCTATGATGTGAGATTAACAAACTGAGATCCCTGTGTAAATAGATTCAGGTAGGTAGCCGTGTTGGTCTGACGCAGTCAAAATAAAAAAATAAAAAAATTGTCCAGTAGCACCTTATAAACCAGCTAAGTTTGTTCTTGGTATAAGCTTTCGTGTGCATGCACACTTCTTCAGATACACTGAAACAGAAGTCACCAGACCCTTATATATAGTGGGCGGGTGGGGTGGGGTTTTTCTCAGGAGGGTAGTAGGAGATGGGTGATTGGCTCAATGGGTATGGTAAACCTGTTGACCGACTGCTAACGACTGCAATTAGTCTTACAGGAAAAAGGAAGGGATAGTATGCAGATGATTAGCATATGTAATGAGACAGGAATCCAATATCTCTATTAAGACCAGGTCTCTCCATAGTTTTCAGTTTAGCGATAAATTGTAAGTCCCACTGAATGGCAGCTGGGCTTTGTTCTGACTTATATAACTGCATCACATTAAAATTGGACATTTGTAAAGGTAAAGATAAAGGTACCCCTGACCATTAGGTCCAGTTGCGGACGATCAGGGATTGCGTTCATCTTGCTCTATAGGCCGAGGGAGCTGGCATTTGTCCGCAGACAGCTTCCAGGTCATGTGGCCAGCATGACTAAGCTATTTCAATGTTTTTTCGATATAAAAAAAGTTTTCTTACCGTAATATGTCAAGCGCCCCCTGGCAACATTTTTCCCTCTAGAGTTCTCAGTAATGCACTCATAGAGACCAGCATCTTCTTGTTGGAAATTTGGAATTTCAATCATGCCATTGGATTTCCTCAACATTACTTTGCTTGGAAATGGCATCCCATCAGCTCTTCTCCAGTTAATCCGAGGTACTGGGCTGCAGAAACCAAATGCAATGAAGGCTTTTGAATTTTAAAAGAACTGATTAAAAATGAAACAAAATATTGCAGCATATGAAGGAATTAATAATATTTGGTACTTTAAAACAACACCAACACAACATTGTGATAATTTACTCTAGAGTACCTGTTACACTTTCATTGACCGGGAATCTAGAACTTGATACTCAGTCATTATCTAAGATTGAGACATAGTCAAGTGAGCCAAGACTTCATTGCGGTCGGATAGATACATTAATCCTAGGTAGGATTGACAGACACTCTAGGTCCAAAAGCATAAATATGTGTTATTGTTTTAGTCTTTTGGTCTCTTGAAATTCTCAGGAGGTATTTTAATTTCAGTTCTAATTCTATCATCACGGGAATCAGATTTTTTTTGGGGGGGGGAATCCATGGGTCAAAGTGAAATTTAGCCCAAATTTTGCAGACTCCCATAGTTAATGTTTTCTCAATTAAACACTATAATCCTAGCTCAGGAGGTTGCCAAATACGTGTTTGTGAACAGTCATACCACCTTAGAATCAGTGTGGGATAGTGGTTAGTGCTGTAGCAGGACATGGGAGACCATGGTTCAATCCTCACTCAGACATGAAACTCACTGGGTGACCTTGAGCCAGTCATTCACTCTCAGCACAACTTACTTCACAGGTGAGGATAGAATGGGGAGGAGGCAAAGTATGTACTTATTTGTTTTAAACAAGGCAGCAGAAAAATCTTATTAATGTATCACATGTGCAATAATAGTGAGAAGTTGTTTAGTTTATAACTGGACACAAAGATTGTAACTATTTATATGCAACTAAAAAAATATGGCATATTTAAAAGGATCTCACACCATCCATTTAACGTACAACATAACTTTTCTGTTTCCAGCTATTGCAATATGGACAAACATGAATACAAACTTACTTTCCAAGGGCAAAGCATTCCAGCTTTACTATCGAACCTTTAGCAGCTGGAAGTGATTCAGGAAACTGAACTTCTATTTTGGGTTCGTATTCCCCCATTACTCCTGTTATTCCAGAAAAGGAAAAGAGTGATTAGGGAAGGAGGCTTGTATCATTGAGCCCCAGGGAACAACTATGCAATAAGACTTCTTTGGATATTTTAAGGAAGGGATTTATTATTTATTATTTCTTTTAGCTTCCTAGTAGTCTTCTGGTTGACAACTGTCATTTGGTTGACAATTCCTAGTAGCCACTCTTGTCTTTGGGTTCTTTCAATATACTTCATCAGAATCACCACTTAACAGTATCCTACATGATGACATTACACCCCAAAATAAAGGAAAGTATAAGATCCATAACTAGCAAGGCAAAGGCAACATAAATATTTTTGTTAGAGATAAATTATGCATTGAAAAAGTGTGTATTCCAAAGAATTAGAAACCATTGAGTATTACACTAAGCAACTGTTAGTTGCTACATTACATAAGCATAAACTCATACATACCATCAGTACGCAGCACTAAAGGTGTCGGCGAGCCAAGAACTTTGGCATTTGTTACGGTACTTGTCACAACACATGTATAATTTCCTACATCAGATGGCTCTACTTTGGCTATGTAGAGATGCCCAGTTTCCTGAGAAACAAATCGACGACTGTCTTCTTGCACAAATGATGGATATTCATTGAAGATCCAAGCATAAGAATGCTCTGAAAGTCAATAAATGAAAATACGCATTAAATGAGATGCATTCTTAAGCAGATGAATCCCAAGGTTGTTTGCTTGCATACAGTTATGGGAAAGAACCCATACCTAGTAGGAATAATATAGCACCATATGCATATGATTTTACCCATAATTATTCACATCTCTAAAGCAACAACAGCTTTTTGGTGCTTTTCTAGAACAAGGGTGTGACTTTAAGAAAACAGTCACACACGTATATATTTGACTCCATATTACTTCACTTGGTGACTCAGCACTTAGGGCAAGTTGTTAGATTATAGGAGAAGTGGATTTGGTTCCATCCCTTGTCCATTCTGGCAATTCTAAGATGATAAGAAGGGCCAAAAATGTGGCACTGGCATGCCACATGTCACAAATTTCAGTAACCATAATCCAGTGCAGTTGCACACGCAAAGGTTCATTAGGATTTGCAGCATGCAACTTGGTATTGGACTGCCAATGTAATCTAGTCAATTTGAAGTAGTATGGCAATGGGAATAGATCCGATAAGAACTGCAGTTACTATGTAATTTAGTTTTATAGATCACAGTTTATGGACAGAATATGGGTGTGTGTATCAAAAGCCATTTCCTATAGGAGCTGGTATGCTATCTTTCTTGAAGCTCATATGCTTGAATAAGGTTTTTAAAACATGGTTTCAAAGGTAGATATAATTTTCATCTTTAAAAAATAAGTAGATGAATATAAAAGCCTTTGCAGCTTCTATAGCAACTGATTTCAGTTAATTATAATCTAACTGACCTGCCTAGTAGTCATTAACACATCTTGCCAAACTTCCTCACTGCCTTTACAAATCTTGCCTGTGTGTAACCTAGTAATTTACAAGTGGGCCTGGGAAATTATTTTCATGCAGCTACAGAAAAAGAAAATTACTGAATGGTATTAGTATTGCTTTGCCAAGAAATAAGAGAACAGAAAGGTTAATTCACACTATGTAAAATGTTGCACAAAACTAAAAACAAACTAATGCAAATTATTGAAATATTTATGGTATCTGTTAACAACAGAAAGAAGTTCAAAATTTGATTGCTTTTCCAATTATCTTTAATTGCCCTTTATTAAACTATAAAGTTATACCATTATGTAAGCTAGAAAAAAGCTAACAATGGCAAACAAGTAGATTCCTGGTAATTTAAAAGAGTTTCTAATTATGCATTTTTAAAATTTATAGCCTGCCTTTTCACCCAAAGGTCCACAAGACGTCTAACAGTAAAACTAAAACTAAAATACAGAATATCAGAAACGAAGAAGCCAGGTAAATCAATCATACTAATAAAAACTAATTCTATCTGAACAAATTGCAGCATACAGCGGTACCTTGGGTTAAGTACTTAATTTGTTCCGGAGGTCCGTACTTAACCTGAAACTATTCTTAACCTGAAGCACCACTTTAGCTAATGGGGCCTCCTGCTGCTGCTGCACCACCGCTGCACGATTTCTGCTCTTATCCTGAAGCAAAGTTCTTAACCTGAGGTACTATTTCTGGGTTAGCGGAGTCTGTAACCTGAAGCGTATGTAACCCGAGGTACCACTGTATTCACAATGTCCACAAGAACTCAGTTGATGATGAAGATATTTAAACCATGGGCAAGTTCATATGGTGATAGACTCAGAATACAGTTTTTCAGATCCCAAGTGGGTCTGTAGGTCATAATCAGCACTTTTTGAATGAATCACAGGACATGGATCAGTAAGGCATGAAACTGTTGCAACATGGGAGATACCTGCTTTCTAAAGCCAACTTTGATGCACTCTGAACCAGCAGAAGTTTTTGAACCTGCATCAAACAAGTTTATTAAGAGGAATAGAGACAGAGGAAGAGGGGACCCATTTTCCCCACCTGGTGGAATCATAGTAAAATTGGAAGGGACTCCCAAGGGTAATCTGGTCCAATCCTCTGCAATGCAGGAATCCTGTCCACAGCTGCCTCTGTGTGGCTATTAGCAAAACAATCATTTCTGTTCATAAAACTTTGCATCAGCTCCACATATCTAAAATAAAGTTTGTTTACAATCTCCATCAAGCTGATAGCCACGATACTGTCTGTAATTAGCAAAATCAGTTGCTTTAGCACTTCTGGATGAGATGAGACACCAGAGAAATTGCTGATTCACCTCCATCAGTGATACAAGGTATCTTGTAAGGAAAGGGCAAGCAGAAGACAAGTTGACATGATTCATATGAAAATATTCACAAATTTAAAGGTGTTATTGCTTTTATGTTAAGGGAAGACACAAAAGCAGTTCATGTTAATGATGTCTTCTGGGTAACTTATATAAACAAGATCATGGCAATCAGGAAGAAAATTGAGTTGTAAAGCTGTCACTCAAAGTCAGAGGTTTACTTGGACTTTTGTTTATCAGTTAAAAGCCATAACATTTACATTCCCATGTTAGGGTAAGATAGTAGTAGCTCTGCGTTAAGACCTGTCAATTCTTATCTAGAAAATGAAATGCACAAATGTAGGACTTATCTATAAGAAACAGATGTGTCCATGTCCAATCATCTTCTAATTATTTAAGAACATTTAAATAACAGAATAATAAGAATATAAGCCCAAATTTATGGGATTCTTTGCTTATGTTAAAGATTAATTCAACATGATGCAATCTTTAGAAATTGCACAAATATGCTCTAAGTTCTAAACAAATTAGCTTTCTTCCATCTTAAGCTCCTTGCCTGTAAACCTTCCAGCTGGAACAGGGGTGGGCAAGATTACTTTCTCCTAGAAATACTACCCTGCTGAAATTCTAAGATGTAAACATTTGTATAAGAAATGTATTATATTATTTATTATCCTTTATATTATATTATCCTTTATATTATTGGGACGCGGGTGGCGCTGTGGGTAAAAGCCTCAGCGCCTAGGGCTTGCCGATCGAAAGGTCGGCGGTTCGAATCCCCGCGGCGGGGTGCGCTCCCGTTGCTCGGTCCCAGCGCCTGCCAACCTAGCAGTTCGAAAGCACCCCCAGGTGCAAGTAGATAAATAGGGACCACTTACTGGCGGGAAGGTAAACGGCGTTTCCGTGTGCTGCGCTGGCTCGCCAGATGCAGTTTTGTCACGCTGGCCACGTGACCCGTAAGTGTCTCCGGACAGCGCTGGCCCCTGGCCTCTTAAGTGAGATGGGCGCACAACCCCAGAGTCTGTCAAGACTGGCCCGTACGGGCAGGGGTACCTTTACCTTTACCTTTTATTTTATATTTTGATGTCTAGGCTTTACTGGAAAAGCATACCTTTATAATAAAAACTGAAATTGGCATGAAAAGAGCCTTACTTACTAATTCTTGCTACTATGGATCAAGAATTGAACACACCAAAACAGTTCTAAGTGAAACTGCTTAACTGTCTTAATCAGATGTAGGTGGCTAACAAGTAGCCTAAAGCTTCCCAACTATTAAACAATACATTAAGGAAAGTTTAGTACTTAACAAATAACCAACATTGTTTCACCATGTAATAGCTGTAAAATCAGTGATATTCCCAGTGCACTGTGAAGGCCTTCCAGGAAAATTGGATCAAACCAACTCAAGCAACTGTGACAAGCAGTGACTTCTGGCACCCAGGTATAGATTCTGAATCAACCGCAGCATACAAACTGAGTGAAATTTGAACATAACAAGATGAGAAAGGCTGTGCCTGCAAATAATCCACTACAGCTTGGCTCAACTGCACCCATAAGCAAAGAGTTGCAGTAAACAATACCCAGCGCCCCCACTCAAGAAAACAGATACAGCACTAAGAACAGTATAACAAGGAAGAAATGTGTTGAGGAGCAAACATAGGTTTCCATCATTCCTCCCTGGCTTTCCCAAAATATTTATGTCTGTATGTGGTTCCTCAAACTTTGGGACAGCTTGTTCTGGCATTTTTCCTTTTTTTTTTTAAAGCAGGGTTTAGCAATATCATTTAGGTAACAAAGTTTTAAAATGAATATCTCAATCGGAACAATTGTCGCATGTGCTAACAGCGTTCAAAAAGTTTGGACAGAGATGAACATGGTGACATGTCCAATTTGCTGTGTTCACTTAAATTAACCACCCTTTAACGAGACTATTCTTCAATATCATCTTTATTATTAATTGAGAGCAAATTAGTTCTTACAACGTAACAGCTCCCACTTGTTTTCCTTGCACTTTTTGCAATTTATCTCACTGACAATCCCATTTGTGTCACAAAACCTTCTACTTACAGTGAATTCAAATTCCTAAACTATTATTCTAATTCTTAGTCAAGGTAGGTAAGCTTATGAAGCAAGACTACTTCATATTCATAGCAGAAGATTGGGACATTTTAGGTGGCTAAAAGGTAGGAATGCAAATCTGAGTAATTCCTGCGCTTAGGAAAGAGCACAGCAACTTTAGCCCCGACCTGCACCCTGAGGCAGTGAGAGGTAAAGGCTGTTTCCTCCACAGCCAGTTCCATAAAACATTTGTTAATTGGACATGACACTCACAGAGTGCAAATGCAATAAGAGTTGGTTATTTCTTCTCTATTTCTTCAATCGCAAAGGGAGGCGGGTGGCGCTGTGGGTAAAACCTCAGCGCCTAGGACTTGCCGATTGCATGGTCGGCGGTTCGAATCCCCGCAGTGGGGTGCGCTCCCGTTGCTCGGTCCCAGCGCCTGCCAACCTATCAGTTCGAAAGCACCCCCGGGTGCAAGTAGATAAATAGGGACCGCTTACTAGCGGGAAGGTAAATGGTGTTCCGTGTGCTGCGCTGGCTCGCCAGATGCAGCTTGTCACGCTGGCCACGTGACCCAGAAGTGTCTGCGGACAGCACTGGCTCCCGGCCTCTAGAGTGAGATGAGCGCACAACCCTAGAGTCTGTCAAGACTGGCCCGTACGGGCAGGGGTACCTTTACCTTTACCTTATTTCTTCAATCACAAAATATTAGATGAGCACATTTAAACCTGATTTAGAATATATTTTCCCATTTCCACATTTCTCAAGGCTGTTAACAGGGCTTGACTTCTGTTTTAATTTTGCAGAAGTCTTGGTTCTTTTTACTAAATAACACTAGAATGCAATGTTAAAGGCTGGTACTGCTTAATTTTCTTACGCTAGCAGAACAATCGTTCCAGGCTGTGGGATGTTTGGATTCAGCAGAAGCATCATATTGCTCAGTTCTCTGGACTAAGGAGGCCTCCTGCCAAGCACTGAGGTGGGTGGCAGGCTGGTGTGGCATTGATGTATACGTCATTTCTAATATTGGGCTATTTTATATTTCAGTGTCTATATTTTATTGAGAAAGTACACATTTATAATAAAAAAATGGATTCAAGGAATCTTCCTTACTGATTCTCGCTACTACAAAACAAGAATTGATCACACCATAATTTTACAAGTAATCTCTGTTGCAAAACTTTCTGTTGTTGTTGACAACAAGAAATAAAAATATGCACAGGATTACAGCCTTAATCAAATGTTCATTGCACTTTAAAACAGAGTGCAACATTCCGTCTGTAACCATCTGCAATAACTTAATTTTGTATTGGTGAAATCCAAGCAAAATTGCATTGTTTCCTAAATAAAACTGTAGTAAACAACCTCTCATGTGACTTTTGTTTCATATATTACACACACACACACACACCCTTTTCTAGTGAGATTACTAAATAAATAATAAAGCTTCTCTTGTCAATTACATTTCTTCAGTTGATTTCCTATTAAACATAGAAATAATTTGTTTTAGTAATATCCTGGGATATACATTCCTTCACTTCAGCTAGATGTTTTTGAACTTTTTTCAGGCCCAAAGCTGCATAAGGAGTGGAGATTTGACATACACTATTCAACAGTATTTTTTTTTCAGAACTCCATTTTTATTTCTTTTTAAAAATTTATCTTTTACCTAATCAGCTTACAGCCTGCTCTTCCTTGAGGCTTGAAGTAACACATTTGGGGTTGTAGGCAATCTCTTATCCAGGCAGAGATTAGGATCAGAACCCTGTTTTGAATACTATAACATAGTCTATGAGAGTCTTCTGGAGACATTGTGGAAAGAGTGATCAGACGCTGAGGGGGAGGAAATAGGGGAGTTGGAGATAGACCAATCCCAGAAAGGGTCTGATCCATGTTGGCTGTGGGTTTTTGTGTTAGTCTCTGAAATTTCAACCCAGCACCTTCTTTCTGACCCCCTGCTGGTCAATGAACCCCATAGTTCAATGCACCCCATAGTCCATCACAAATAACTTGTGTCACTCCTCTTAACCCTTGGAAGCCTGGAAGTCGCTCAAAGCTGGAAAACCATGGGAGCACATTCTAAGGACAGGTAGTGGTCTTGAGTGTTGGACACAGCACTTTCAGAACACATAAACTACCATCCTACTTAAGGGAATTGTGAAAGATAATTTTATATTCTTGTAGTCATGGCTGAGAATCAGCTTTTCTCTCTTGAGTGATTTAGTACAGTGTTTTGCTTGTAGGTTAATGCACTGTTGCTTCTGTGGTCCTGTGTTATGATAACATGTTTTATTGAAATTAATAAAAAAAGAGTGCTCGCTTCAGAAGCACATATACTAAAATTGGAACAATAAAGAGACAATTAGCATGGCCCCTGCGCAAAAAAACAAAATGATTTGGACTCCTTGGCAGGTTTTGAATAAACATCCACAAATTTATTTGTTGAATATATGATAGATGAGGCAATGATATGTACAATTTTACAAAATACAAAGAATAATATGTGTAAAGAAACCGAAGAGACAAGCTGAGGAAAGTCCGGGGGGGGGAGGGGATAAAAAAGGGGGAAATATGTAAATGGATTGATAAGCTGGTTGTTTATATATATATATATATATATATATATATATATATATATATATGCTTTCGTAGATACACGAAGCCAAGCCAGAGCACAACTAAGTGCAGTACAGCCATCTTCTCAGAAAAACTCTTCACAAAGTTCAAGAGGTCAAGACACGAAGGCTTTAGCAACTAATCCACACCTAATGACCCACCTAAGTGGTACTCAGAATATCACTCAAGAAATCACTCAAGATATCCCTCAAGTAATTAAGGAACAAAAGAAGAAAAGGCACACTAGCCTGGGAACTTCCTCTCTGCCCAGAACATTGGAGGCTATACACCACACCCCCTCAACAGTATTTATAGGAACTCAAACACTGAGATCCTGCTCTGTTCCAGTAACAAGAAGCCGAAAGCACCAGCCTGAAGATGACGAGTGAGACCTCGTCGAAACGTCGCCTAGACACCCCAACTTTTACACGGGAAGACACCCGAGGACACCAAAACCTGCATATATATATATATATATATATATATATATATATATATATATATATATATATATGCTTTCGTAGATTTTCACGGGTACAGGAATGCAGGTTTTGGTGTCCTCGGGTGTCTTCCCGTGTAAAAGTTGGGGTGTCTAGGCGACGTTTCGACGAGGTCTCACTCGTCATCTTCAGGCTGGTGCTTTCGGCTTCTTGTTACTGGAACAGAGCAGGATCTCAGTGTTTGAGTTCCTATAAATACTGTTGAGGGGGTGTGGTGTATAGCCTTCAATGTTCTGGGCAGAGAGGAAGTTCCCAGGCTAGTGTGCCTTTTCTTCTTTTGTTCCTTAATTACTTGAGGGATATCTTGAGTGATTTCTTGAGTGATATTCTGAGTACCACTTAGGTGGGTCATTAGGTGTGGATTAGTTGCTAAAGCCTTCGTGTCTTGACCTCTTGAACTTTGTGAAGAGTTTTTCTGAGAAGATGGCTGTACTGCACTTAGTTGTGCTCTGGCTTGGCTCTTTAACATGGAACACCACCACAAGAGAATAATCATGGAAGCCATCGAGATAGAGAAACACCCTCACAACATGAACAAGCGTGACGACACGTCCCGCCTGCCAGACATCTGGAAATTAGCCCTCCCCACAAAAACCGACACCAGATCCAGAGGCACACAGAACGCCATCACCAATCAACCACACCAGACCCAAACCCAGACCCTCTCCACAGATAAATTACAGACACCATCCAGTAGCCAAACCATGGTGGCACCTCCGGATGCTGCACCCCCCTGCAATCCCTACACAGATCTGGCTGGCACAGGGCACAAAACCACAGCTCGCCCCTATACACGAAGCCAAGCCAGAGCACAACTAAGTGCAGTACAGCCATCTTCTCAGAAAAACTCTTCACAAAGTTCAAGAGGTCAAGACACGAAGGCTTTAGCAACTAATCCACACCTAATGACCCACCTAAGTGGTACTCAGAATATCACTCAAGAAATCACTCAAGATATCCCTCAAGTAATTAAGGAACAAAAGAAGAAAAGGCACACTAGCCTGGGAACTTCCTCTCTGCCCAGAACATTGAAGGCTATACACCACACCCCCTCAACAGTATTTATAGGAACTCAAACACTGAGATCCTGCTCTGTTCCAGTAACAAGAAGCCGAAAGCACCAGCCTGAAGATGACGAGTGAGACCTCGTCGAAACGTCGCCTAGACACCCCAACTTTTACACGGGAAGACACCCGAGGACACCAAAACCTGCATATATATATATATATATATATATGGTAAAGGTAAAGGTACCCCTGCCTGTACGGGCCAGTCTTGACAGACTCTGGGGTTGTGCGCCCATCTCACTCTATAGGCCAGGGGCCAGCGCTGTCCGGAGACACTTCCGGGTCACATGGCCAGTGTGACAAGCTGCATCTGGCGAGCCAGAGCCGCACATGGAAACGCCGTTTACCTTCCCGCTAGTAAGCGGTACCTATTTATCTACTTGCACTTTGTTGTGCTTTCGAACTGCTAGGTTGGCAGGCGCTGGGACCGAGCAACGGGAGCGCACCCCGTCGCCGGGATTCGAACTGCCGACCATACGATCGGCAAGTCCTAGGCGCTGAGGTTTTACCCACAGCGCCACCCGCGTCCCATATATATATATATATATATATATATATATATATATATATAAAGACAAAAAATAATAATAAGAGAAGTGGAAAAGGGTAGATGCTACCTGTGACATCTCTCTCTCACACACCCACACCCACACCCACCCTGCTAGTCTGGTGACAAATGCACATAGCAGACCAGGTGAGTGACTTAATGTAAGCAGAATTGTATGATACATTTCAGAAATGTAGTTGGGCAGTAGTTGGGCAGACATAACAAAAGTGCATGAACCAAACATTAGTTTGATAGTGAATGGGAAATCAAAATGGTATTCCTCTGCTGCCTTGTTCAGGACAATTCCACTACTTTAGTAACTCTGCTAAATCTACTTCAAGATGCTCAGCTAGATGTAAAATCAGGTTATCTCCAAAGCACTGTTAAACAGGCATATGGATGCAAATTTTATACATGTGATTCAATTCTTGCATATATATTTTTTAAAAAAACATGCTAAACAGCAGTACACTGAAAAATACACATCAACCTTGACAGTTCTTGTGCCTACAGGTCCACCCACTTTTTTGTTTTCCGCATTAACACCTAATTAGGAAACTGAGCAGATGTTTTCTTGATGAATAGTATAAAATCTGTGAAATTAATTAGTGAAACAACATATAATATTTGTAAACTTACAACAGCCTATGTGTAACTGGGCTAATTGAGAGAACAGAGTTGAGCATGGATGCTTTCAGTATGTCCAGTGTGCAGTAATGGCTGAAGTGAAATTACCGTATTTTTCGCTCTATAGGACGCACTTTCCCCCCTCCAAAAATTAAGGGGAAATGTGTGTGCGTCCTATGGAGCGAATGCAGGCTCCTTAGCTTCAGCGATAGCAACGAAAACCCTCTGAAGCGCAGAGGGAGCGCTCCCTCCGCGCTCCGGAGGCTTTGCATTGCTTTCGCTGAAGCCTGGTGAGCGAGAGGGGTCGGTGCGCACTGACCCCTCTCGCTCTCCAGGCTTAAGGGATAGCCGCCTGAAGCCTTCAGAGCGCAGCGTGAGTTCCTGCTGCGTTCCGGAGGCTTCGGGTTCCTTTTGCTGAAGCCAGGAGAGTCTTGCTCTCCCGGCTTCAGCAAAAGGAACCCGAAGCCTGCGGTGCGCAGCGGGAACTCATGCTGCGCTCCGAAGGCTTCAGGGATCTTTGGGGCTGGCGGTGGGGGAAAGCAGCGCTTCCCCCGCCAGCCCCAAAGAGCAGGTCAAAAGGAACCCAAAGTCTCCGGAGCCCAGCGGGAACTCCCGCTGCGCTCCTGAGGCTTCGGGTTGCCTTCACTGAAGCCTGGAGAGCGAGAGGGGTCAGTGCGCAGCGACCCCTCTTGCTCTCCAGGCTTCCAAGGTAGCCGCCTGAAGCCTCCAGAGCGCAGCAGGAACTCCCGTTGCGCTCCGGAGGCTTCGGGTGAAGGCACCTGGTTTTAGAGGGGGAGAACAAGAAAAAATAATTCTCCCCCTCTCTGCGCAGCGGCTCTTCAGAGAAGCGGCAGGAGAAATGGAAGGGGCTCCGTTTCTCCTGCCGCTTTACTGAAGGGGCGCTGAGCAGAGAGGGGGAGAATTTTTTCCTTCTTGTTCTCCCTCTCTAAAACAAGGTGCGTCCTATAGAGCGAAAAATGCTGTACTTACATTACATTATTCCCACCAGTTCTCTTTTTAACCTGTTTGTGATAACCCAGCTCACTGAGTTCTGGATTTTTATGAGTGGCAGGCCTCAATCCAAAACTAAATCCTGTCTACCTTCAGTCCTTGCTCCGTATTTCTTTTGTCATGTTAATGGCCCTGGCGTGGAAAGGAAGCTTAGCCTGCATTTTTCCACTAGCCTGGCATCTTCCCTTCAATACTCCCAAAATCAGCTGTAAATTAATTTCTAACATTCACAGACCTTAACAGTTATGGGTGCCCTTGCACCCCCAAACTCTGTTGCCCCTGATCTGTAACACTTATGAAGGTGCCAGGTGAAAACCAGGGCTTTATAACCAGGGCTTTGACTGATTAAACAATCTACAACCTTTTAAATGTGTTTAAAGGGGGGGTCCTTTTGTTTGATTTTTGGTTATTTATTTTGTTTTCTTATTTTGTAATTTTATGTTCTGAACTGCCCTGTGATCTTTGAATGCAGGGCAATACATAGCTGAACCCTTGATTTTTATTTCCTTATGTGATTTTTCTGCTGCAACATTGCTTTTTTTTAATGAAGCTATTGTTCCCTGCCATGAGCTCTTTAGAGTAAAGCTGAGCTATAAATATTTTAATTAATTAATTAAACAAAACATTTTGGTTAGAAAAAGTGTCAGCATTGGAATTAATAAAGTATGAGGATTGTGGGTTGTTGTTTTTCGCAGTGTGTGTTTGTGTGTCTCCATTTTATCCTCACAGAAATCTTAGGAGTGAGGCCAGCCTGAGAAAATACCCCTGAACTTCCACAGGTATGTAATGATATTTGTCTTTCCACATTTAAATGTAGTTTATGACAGATGTTGCAGAATTTGGACTTAGAATTAACCATATGCAATGTTGTTTTCTTTGCCGTTGCCTTATTTGTCAAAAATGCATTCAACCTTCAAATGCAAATGCATATGAAATGGTTTAGAAACGTGGACAATTCATATTTTAGATCTATGTTAAATTGTACCAGAAATTAACAATGAGCCTGGAAGCAAAATTCCATTTCCCCTCTGAAATGCTTACAATACCAT